CATACTATGTGTGTAGAGTATATATATATATATATATATATATATACTATATATATATCGCTTGTCCGTTGATGGGTGTGTTCTTCTGAGCATAGCGCATGCGCAGACGCCTCTTACATTCGGCTATTGTACGGTGTGTGATGAAGTTGACTGCCCCAATCTGTCTCCGTTGCCAAAGTAGAATGTCAGTATCATGTGTTAGTACTACCGTCGCTCTCAAGAACAATCCATGACTCATTGGTCCCTGGTGTCCAAATTGCTGTTATTTGTTTGTTCTAAAAATAGCTTGATGTGCTGAGTTCTATGGCAAACGTGGCCGGATATCGCGCGGTTGTTGAGAGTGCAAATTTCTTCGGTCGTTTCTTCTCTGGCAAAATCACTGCAGGTATGGGATTGGCTCAGTTTGATCGCTGCAGGTATAGGATTGGCTCGATTTGTTGGGTATATTTGTATGTGTCTATAGCTGTATACTCAATGGCAGTTTATCTCTCTCCCTCTCTTAAATACAGAATAAGTAATCTCGTAAGATGAGTATAGTATCTCTATATTCTATGGTAGTTGTCAGTTTTAGGGTCAATTAAACATGGAATTAGTAATAGCGCAAGATAGGTATAATAACTGTATGCTCAATGACAATTTGTCTGCTTCCCTTACATAATCATGGACAAGTAGAGTGTGGCAAGATAGGTATAGTAACTATACATTCAATGGCGATTTATTTGCTTGCCTCACTAAATTTACCTTCTAACGGTGAAACAATCAAACCAGCAACATCAGTATATCAACTATATATTCAACGGTATTTCGTCCCGTTTCCCGTTCCTTATCATCCTACCCACAGCCGGGAAAATCGACCCAGCCAAGGTGCTTGTGATCGGTGTTGGGGTGGCAGGCCTATCGGCAATAGCTACAGCCAAGTCTATGGGTGCTATTGTCAGGGCATTCGATGTGCGGCCCAGTGTGCGCGAACAGATAGAGAGTATGGGTGCTGAGTTTCTGACTGTGGAGATTGACGAGGATGGTGCGGGTGCGGGAGGATACGCCAAGACCATGAGCCCAGAATTCATCGCGGTATGAGGGATTGCACGCACATATGGGGCTGAATGTGTGTATTCGTGTGTATATAGACGTATGTATATGTATATGGATAGAAAACATTATATAGAGAGACGTATGTATATGTATATGAATAGAAAACATTGTACGAGGAGTAGTTTGTACTCAACTGAGGAGATTGACAACCATAGCGCGGGTCCCGAATGATAGCGATCATGGCTCATGGACCTATGCTACGACTTATATACTTGATTCAGTGTATACATTCATACCCAAACGCATTTACATATAAATTAGTGTGTATGGATTCTTACAAGGGTGATGGTGTGCGGCTGGCTGTGCAGATTGAAGAGGTTGGTGCGAGTGCTTGGGAACAATCGAATACTTTTCATCAGTACAGATACGTTTATAAACAAGTGTTCCACTCCATATATACACTCAGCGTACCTACATAGTCAAACACATCTTTTCACACGTGTGCTCGTGATCCTGCACACAAGGGTTGTATGTATCTGAATGTAGAGACCAGGGCGTGTACTAGGCGTGCCTGTACTAGGCGTGCCTGTTTAGGACTGTGATGATTGAGAAAGTAGGTCTGATGCTTGTTTGCTATGTCAAGTTTCTGGGTGCGGAAGTTGTCAGCGATGTAAGTTGCATCCATATACATACATCTGTGTGGGTGTTGGTGCATTCATATACACGTATTGGAAATCTGTTTACACCGACATGCATATGTTTGGATGTTTGTGTATTCACATGAACGTGTTGCAAGTCCGTATATGCAGACATACATATGCGTGGAAGTTAATATATTCTCTTAAACGTATTGGGCGTGGGCTCACACATGCGTATACAGACGCATGCAGCCGTGGAATACAATCCAACCCCGTGCCGTTCAGTTGGAAGTACATGGTAGACCTTTCACAGTGTAAGCGTAACCCACATCTCCTCCCTCATTTCTGTGCTGTATTTCCCATACTCAGGCCGAGATGGCGCTATTCAAGGCACAGGCGGAAGAGGTGGACATTATCATCACAACTGCACAAATCCCTGGTACGAACCTCTCAGTGGTGTCTGATACCAATGTACATGCAGTGCAACACATGTGGGTGGTCTTGGTAGGGCGGCCATGTGCACCTGTCACATGTGGGTTGTTTGAATGATATAATGATGTATAGTAATATGAT